CCCGATGACCCGATACTGACTCCGTACACCCCCCCCCCCCTTTCCACGCCCCGGGCCTGACCAACCCGACACACAAAACACACCCCTTCCTTAATATGTGTGTGTGTCCGTGCCCGTGCGTGTTTTTTTTGTGGGAACACAACCATCCCCCACAAAAACACACACACACACACACGCACGCACACGCACAGGTACCTACATGGGCCGCATTGGTATGCTCATCGGGTCCACCTCCATCGGCTACGACCCGCACTTCGGCACCTTCGTCAACGGCACCCAGGTCCCGTCTGGCACCATCGAGCTGCCCGAGGCCGATGTCGTCGTCGAGCATGTCGATGGCCGCCACCGCCTCACCGTCCGCACCGACAGCTGGCAGATCGTTGCCCGCACCAAGGTCGAGAAGGGCCTCATCTCCGAGTCCTACGTCAACCTGGCTGCCAGCCTGGTCGGCCCGCCCACCAACCCCCACGGTATCCTGGGCCAGACCGCCCGCTTCATGCTGGACCCGCGCCTGCCCCAGCGCGTGTCCACCTTCGACGTCGACGGCCAGGAGAACGACTACGAGGTTCGCGATGGCCTCTTCGGCACGGACTTCACCTACAACCGGTTCAACCCGCGCCTGGCTTCCATGCGCGTCGGCGTGACCGCCGGCTCCGAGCCCGGCCTGCGCCGCACCGGGCGCACCCTCTTCGAGGCCGGTGTTGACATGTAGGCGGCCTCTGTGTGCCCCTCCCCGACACCGGGGTCGGGTCCCCCCGCGAGCGCGTGTATGTGCATGAGGGTGGAGAAGAAGAATCCGCGGCCGAGCAAAACCCCACCACCACCACCACCACCACCAATCCCCTCCATATCAGCGCACCACCCACACCCCACCAACAACAGGGCATCCGGGCTGGACTAGGGGCGCTCGAGAGATGTACACAAGGGCCCAACCGGCCCAGGATGCCAGGCAGACGGACACATGAGCGAGAGAGCGACGCGCGCGTGCGCAATCCCCCAGGGCCGAGCATGCTCGGCCCGTGTTTGCGGCGGGCGCGCGCCCTCCTCATGGCGGCCCCTCGCCATACCTGGCTTTCTGGCCAGAGCAAGCCTGTACACGCCGGCCACCCCTGCCCCCGGTCCCTCTTGGCCCCGCTTCTTCTCATTTGAGTAGCCGGCTTTGGCTGGCCTCGCTCTTTTTCACCCACATATAACAGTAACAATAGCGACAACAACAACCCGAGCGCCGGCGCCCCTCTTTCCTGCCCCACCTGACGGAGGGGAGGGGGGGCGGGGGGGGTCCCGTGCCTCCCCCCTCCACCCCCTTCTGCCACTCACCGGCGAGGAAGCCGAGAGTAGGCGTCTGCGCTCGCATTCCGCACCATCCCCTCTCCACCACTCCGGGCCCTCGCCTCTCCCCCCTCTTCCCCAGGGCGGGCGGCGGTGACCGCGTGGTGGACGCATATACACACCCATCAGACAGAAAACCACAATAGCGCAGAGTCACACACACCAAGCACCACATGCATGTGTCGCCCATAGCACGCGTCTCTCTCTCTCCCCGCTCACGAGCAAAAGAAGAGACCCACACAGGTCAGGGGGCGGGCCTTGGGACGAGGCGGCGGGGCCAGGGGTGGGGGGAGGGGGGGCAGCCACAAACAGCGCGGTGGGGGAGAAGTGTACCACCACACAAATCATGCATGCGACAAAGGCATGTGCACGAGAGGGGAACGGGAGGGGGGGGGCTTTGCTCGCGCATGCCTCCCCTTATCTTCCGTGCTGGCCTTCTACGCCGGGCAGGCTGGAGTGGGTGGCACCATTCACGTGCGCGTACATGCTTGTACACTGTGAACGCCGTCCTTCCTCTCGAGACCGCGGGAGGGCAGGGAGACTTGCGCCTATGTGTCGGCGTATACGCATATAGTGCACCGAATAAAGCGTTTGAGTAAGGAGAGAGAGATCTGGGGAAACAGAGCGGGATTACTTGAGCGAGGGGGAAACAGAAAGAGGGTAGCACAGGCAGGGCCAAAAAGGACAGAAAACACACGAGATGCCGGTAGAGGGAGGCGGGGGGGGAGATGGGGGGGGGCACAAGGCTCTTCGACGAAGCCACAATGCCAGAGGACCGAGTGGATGGATTCGAAGGAAAGGGCAGGTGTATGTCGCAGGCGGCCGGTGCTCCGAGTGCAGATGAGCGGCTGAACACTGAAACACATGGAAAATCCTGGGGGGGGGGGGGGGGGGCGTGAGACGAGGAAACAAGATGGACGTGAGCGAGAGGCAGGCAGGTGAAATTCATGATGCATCTGGCCAGGGTGAATGGGGCCCGCGAATGGCGGCAGCTCGGCAGCCAGCTGTGCATTCACCCTTCTCCCCAAGCGCCACTCGCATGATGGAGCCCTCCCGCCCCTCTGGAGGTAGCCGCGCCTGGCTCAGGCCCCTCGCCCCTGCAACCCGGCGAGCATAAACTGCGATGCGCCGCTGCTCGCCATCCCTTCCCCCGGCATGTGTTCGGTGAGAAAGAGAGTCCTAATATTCTATTTGCCATCGGCCAGACACAAGAACAGACACACACAGGCGCGCGTGCACACGAGCGGGCTTTTCCCGTCGTACACGGCGGGGCAGCCTATTGCCGATGCTGGCACTTGAAGAAGTGGGGGGGGGGGGGGCGGGGGCTCACGAAGTAAGAGGTGCGAAGCAGGCTGACGCCCTGCTAAGCACCACCCCCTGCCCGCCAGTCACACTGGTCCGGCCTCGGGCCCCTCACGTCGCCCCTCTGTCGTCACAAATGCGCGCCCCAGGGCAGCCCCCCAAAGGAGCCGCGCGAGAGGCGCAGCTCACAGCCCACTACTCGCCGGAGGCCCAGTACTGCAGCAGGGCAAACTCGCTGGCCCCGTCGCTGGCCCCGTCCTCCAGGTCGGCGTAGTACTGGTTCCGGACGCGGCGCTCGGCCGGCTGGCGGTTGCTGTTGGAGAAGGCCGCCGTGTACACCCGATCCAGGGTCGAGCCCGTGGCCGCCCTGGCGCTGCCGCCCTGGCGCTGCCGCGGCCGGTCACCAGCGGCCACAGGTCGCGCCCTCTCGCTGGTCGCCGACCGGCCACGAGGCACAAAGCTGTATGCCTGGGCCAGAGGCTCGGCGTGGACATGGGCACGACGCTGGCGCACACGCCCCTCGGCATCCCCAGCCGATTGGTCCTCGGTGGCATCATCCTCCGCGGCACCGTCGCCGGGGCCGCTGCCGGCGGGCCGAATGTCCAGGTCCTTCTCAACCAACTCACCCTCGGCCTCCTCCTCCTCGGAGGCATTGCCGGCATCCTCGCCGCCGGACCCGGCACCGTCGTCGCTCACGCCCTCGGCGTCCGAGTCCGAATCGCTGTCGCTAGCAGACTCCGAGCCGCAATCCGAGTCCGAATCCGAGTCCGAGTCCGAGTCCGAATCCGAGTCCGAGTCCGAGTCGGATTCAGATTCGGAACCCTCGTCCTCGGAGTCCTCCTCGGCCTCCTCGGCCTCCTCGTCCTCCTCGTCATCGCCTTCATCGCCATTCTTCGACGGCCCAGCCAGACGCGTGTGCTCCAGGATGTCGGCCAGGGTGATGTTGACCCCGGCCGCCGCGAGGGCCGGCTTCAGAGGCTCCTTCTTGGCCACATGCCCAACCATCTTGGCCACCTTCTCGATGGGGCTGCTGGTGTCCTGGGTCGCGTCCTCCTCCTGCTCGTGCTCCGCCTCCGCGTCGGTGCCATTCTTCGGCTCGGCCTCGGCACGCGCGGCCAGACGCCGGCGGTGATAGTGGCCGGCTGTGGCCATGACCGATCGAGCTGCCCGCGGCCGGCGGTCCTCCATGTCGGCCACCACATCTCGCCGGGGCATGATCATCATGCCGCCGGGCATCGGGGGGAAGGCCGCCCCGGCCACGGCCGGCGCCATGTACGGGTGCATGGACGGCAGCATGATCCCGGCCGCCGGGGCATTGACCACCGCTGCCGGCACCACCGGAGCCACCGGCACCGCCGGGATGACCGCCGGCAGGGGGTTCACGGCCACAGTGCGCTTGGGAACCTTGACCGGCACCACGGTGGTCACCGGCACCAGGAGGGTCTTCTTGCCGCGGGGCTCCAGGCCAGCCGGGTCCTGGATCCTGGCCGCGGCCGCGGCGTCGGCCGTGTCCCGCGCCGCCAGGCGGGTGACCACCACCCGCGGCAGGCCGGCATTCAGCCTCACCACCGGGGCCGTGTCCGTGGCCAGGACGACCGGGCTGCCGGGACCCAGAGCGACGCGCGGCCCGGCGCTGGCCGATCCGGGCGGGGCGACGGGCCGGCCCCGGCGCGGCTCCTCCGCCACCCCAGCGGCATACTGCTCTTCTTCTTGGGCGGCACCCGGGCGCCGGGCCGCCACCGGGACCACCAGCTCCGAGACCGAGGCCCGGACGGGGAAGACAACCGTGTCCAGGCCGGGCTCGGGGGCCACTTCGGCCGGGGCATCGTCCGACACCTCGGACGACCAGGCCCAATTGAACAGACCCCCCAGGGAGCGCCGGATGAAGGCACGCAGCCGGTCCGCCGGCTTGTACTCCGGCGAGCCCGGCGCCGCCTGGTCATCCTCCCGCCGGCGGGTGTCCGGCTCCTGCTCGGGATGCTGGTCGTCCGCCGGGATGAAGTCCAGAGCCGGCAGGGCATGCATCAGCCCCTCGTCCGGGTGCGCGTCGGCCAGAATGCCAGCCGCGCGAGCACGCGCCTCGGCCGTCTGCTGATGGATGCTCCCACCGGCGGGGTGCATGGGCGGCCGTGGGGCCCGGGCCCCGGCGGCCGCCGGGATGCTGTTGGCCTGCAGCAACACCGGGTTGCGGATGAGAGCCGGGTTCATGACGGCCGCCTGGGCCCGGCCATCGTCCAGCACCACGGACGGATGGCCGGCCAGGACTTCGCGCAGGGGATCCCCCCGGGGCCTGGCGGCCCCCGGCGCACTGCGCTTCAGTGCACCGCGCTCCGCCGCAGGCGGCCCCCGGCCCTCGAAGGAGGCGGCGGGGCCACGGCGGAAGGACGCTTCGGCCAGGGTCCCGCGAGCTTGACGAGCCGCCGGGCGCACGGCGCCCGGGCCGGTGGCCACGTTCTTCCCCACCGGCAGGCCGGCCACCTTGACCCCGGCGGCCACATTCTTCGGGTCCAGGATGGCCCGCTTGGCCAGGGTTTTGCTGCCGGCCACCGAGCCGGCCTCCCGTCGGTACATGGAGTGCCACATGCCGCCCGAAGAGTGGTAGTGATAGTGCTGCATCGGGGGTGGGTAGTATGGGGCGGGCGGGGCCTGCACCACCACCAGCGGCGGCTGCACCACCGTCGCCGCCGGGGACATGACCCGTTGGAACATGGCGGCCTTCTGCATCTTCCGGAACTTGCCCTCCTCCTCCTCCTCCTCCTCCTCCTCTTCCTCGTCTTCCTCCTCCTCCTCCTCCTCTTCACGACGTGAGCGTGTCTTCGGGGAGTAGCGGGTGCGCGAGCGCGCGGTCGGCCCACCGCATGCCACCATCTCCACGCCCTCTGGCAGGACGCCCGTGTCGCTGCGGACTGCCAGGCGGCTGGGGGGGGCGCTGGCCGAGGCGGCCGTCGCGCGGGCCATCCAGGCTCCGCCGTCCTCCGTCAGTCGCGGGCTGTCGGAGTCGCTGCGGGCCTCGGCCCAGCCCACCGGCGCGGCCATGCTCAGACTCGGGGACATGAGCAGCAGCGCCGCGCCGATGGCTGCCACGCTGGACGACAAGGACCGCCGGCTGGCAGCCTCGGTGACGGGCGTGCTGCGCGTGGCGATATTGGTAGTGGTGGCGGTGGTGGTGGAGTGCGATGAGCCGGGCCGAGTCGCGGAGGGACGGCCACGGCGGCCGGTGCGTGAGCGTGAACCCATTTTTCCTGTGCACACCAGGGGACAGCAGCTGGGGCTCGTTGCTGGGTGTGGCTGAGTGGTCGACCGGGCGATGAGGGGGGGGGGGGGGAACGCGGATGCAGAATCCGGGCAGGGAGAGGTGGTCAGCAAACACCGTGCGCGAGTGAAGTCACAAGAAGCAAGCATCATGGTGGCCGGCATGCCCAAGGCCCAGTGACACGCTTTTCGGGCTCTGTCACCCTTGCACCCGGGACACACACCGAGCAGGCAGGTGGCGCTGGCGTACCGAGGGGAATTATACACTGACTGGACGCGAGTGCCGACGAATCAGGCAATGCGCTCTTGGCTGCTCGGCGGTGGAGCGGCAAGACGGAAGGGGGCGAGCGAGCGCGAGGGGGCGGTTCCTGCGTGTGCGTTCTTACACTGCGCGGGCGAGGGGACGCGGCTGGCAGGGACAGCAAGTAGGGACACAGAGCTTCGCGTATGAGCAGGGGCGCGTGTGCGTGTGACTGTGTCTGGGGAGAGCGCGGGCTGAGATGGGCAGTGGCTTGAAAAGATGAGGGGCGTATTTGTTTATCCGTTTGAAAGGGGTCCGCGCATGGCACTGCCTCAAATAGACGGCACCCCTCCTCCCTAGCTACATACATACGGACATGCACATGCTCGCGTACATGCACATGCGCATTCACTCATTCACACACACACACACAAACACACAAACACACACATACATACATACACTAGTCTTGAGGCTAGTGGAAGGGGTGCACCTAGGTCCATCCGTCCGCCCCCCTCGCCCTGTCCCTAGGCACCCTCCTCTCATCTCGAACGGCAGCCCAAATGCACAGCGCCTCCCGCGCGCCTGGTTCTTTCCTGCCTGTCGCGCGTTTTCAGATGCCGGGCGGCCGGAGGGGGGCTCCCCTCGGAGTTCGCGGCCCTTATGGAGCCGTGCTTTTTTGCATCAGTAGCCCACCCCTCTGGCCACGTCACAACCTGGCGGAAATCGCCCCACAGACCGGGTGACACAAGAAAGGCGCTTGGGAGCACCCCGAACACTGGCCCCCCTTGGCCTCCGGTCCCGGTCCCCACCCTCCCCCGGCCCCTTGGGGACGGCGGAGGGGGAGTGTGCAGGATCTTGTGCCCGGTGCCGGGGCGCACCCAAGCTCAGCGAGCAAATCTCTGACGGGCCCACGTGCTCCGTTTCCGGACGCCCCCTTGCTCTTCTGAGCCCCGCTTGCGGGAGTCCTGCCTGAGAAGGGCCCCATACAGAGCGCGTCGCTCGTTAGAGGGGGGGGGGAGGGGAGTCAGTAACATGCCGTGCTACACATCGGCTGGCCGCGGAGGTGCCGGCCTACGCCCCATTCGCCAGCCCGTCCTCCTTCCAGAGGCGAGGGCGGGTGACCATGGCGCGCACTTGGCTCCGGTGTGACCGCCAGATCCCGCATGGCGTCGGAGTGCCCTTGCCCTATCACAATCTCCGCACACTTGAGCTGCATGCCGGCGCATGGCCAGGGCAATCGGCAGCCATGTATGATGTAAGCCCCGGACCCGGGTGAGCCTGTGCTGGCCCGAGTGCAGTGAGACTTTTTCCCATGTCCGTTCGGAGGTCGGCGTCCGCTGTTCAACGGCATACTCTCTGGCCCGGGCAGTGACCTGGACCATGCTGGCCATCTTCCCGGCCGGGTTCCCGGCTGGCCATGCACAGCCCGCCGGTTGGTGGGGGGATTGTGGGGCAGGATGGCGCCCCCACCAACTCACCCGGCAGGCACTCGCCAACCACCGAAGCGCGCAGGTGTGACCCACAACTCTGAGACCAGTGTAACCGATAAGATTAATCCATCGGATTAACATGTGACACATGCGTGGGCACATGAACGCGACTGGGAATGCGGAATGCGGACGGTGGACGGCGGGCCCGAGCCCCCCTCTGGTCAGCCGGCTGGCTTCCAGCACGCCGCCACAAACACAGGCGAGCCATCCCTCGGCGGCTTGTCGAGGTGTGGGCGGGGAGGGCAGGCGACAGCGGCCTATTTACCTGGGGATGTGTGCTGACGGCCACAGAGGGTGGGATTGGAAGTTGGGCGGGTGTTGGGACAAAGGGAAACCAAGGAAACAGGCCACCGTCGCCCGTCAGCGGGGCAAGCAGGAGAGGGGGGAGAATGTTGATATTGTATTGGCTTTGTATTTACGAAAAGATCAAGGGAGGAGGAAGGGGGGGGGGGGAGGGCCACAAGGAAGTGGCTTCGCGAGGACAGCGTCGCGGCGCTCTCCCGCCGCTGTCGCCCCTTGTGGATGTCTTCCCTGAGGAGGGGGGGGAGCAACGGAAAGAGGCGGAATGCCACAAGGGCCAAGTCCAGGGAACGAGGCAGAAAGGGGGGATGGATGCGGCGGAGGGAGCGCAGGGGGATGCACATGCGTGGCCACACGCGCTGCATGCTGCCTTGTGTGCGGATTGCCCCAGGCAGGGGGTGTGGTGGCGGTTTTCTTCTTTTCTTTTTTTTTTCCCCCTTTCACAGAGGCCTACTTGCCGGCGGCCAGCTTCAGCATGGCATCAACAATCGGGGCGCCCGGGGTCTCGGTGAAGGCCCCGCCAGTGGGGCCGGCCGTGCCAGGCACCAGATGCAGCAGTGAGGACTTGGACAGCAAGCCGACGCAGCCCTTCCCGTCACTGGGATCCACCTGGGGGAGGGACGACTGGAGGATGTGGGCCGAGGCGGAGGAGGCCGCCTGCGGCTCGGTGGCCAGCAGGGTGTCACGCATGCGGGCCGCATGAGCGACAACTATAAGTGGGGGGGGGTGCGAGATGTGAGGGGCCGCGAGCCGGAGGGCGGCAACAGGGAAAACGGTCAGTCAGTGGGAAAGAATGCCACACGAAGGAAAAAAGGTGCGAAGGAGGCGCAGGAAGCGCGGGGGGTATGCATGTGGAGCGAGTGGGGGGGGGGGGGGGG